TTTATGAACCAGGGTTGGGAGTGGGCCAAAGCAAACCATTCAAAGAGATGCAAAGTTCTATTCTTCAACCATGGGTTGTTCATGACAAAAAAACTGCTTTCAGCTGACTCTGAATATGGAAAGTCTTCTCTGAATCAATTTTTGTCCAAATATAACTTTTTTTTTTGGCCACTTACTGTGATATCGTTATAGTTAGTATAAAGTAGCAAACTGTATTTGGCTGGGAGCATGTAAATACACTTGTGAAAACATGGTAGTCATCGCCACTACAGAGGGTGCTTAGTTAAACACTAAGTAGGAAATGTGGGACCTACTTTACCCAATATTATTTCTTTCTTTTTAAAATGGTATTTTAACTTTTTTGTTTTCTGAGACATTCTTCAGCTTAGGAATGTAAAATGGTTGCCAGGTAGGCCCAGACCCTTTCTGAAGACAAATACAGATGGAGGCATGGTGAAGATCATGTTGCAGAACAGCAACCTTAACTCTTGTTTGTATGTTTGAATTCAGCAAAGGCAGATGAGAAGTGCTGGCTTTGGTGTGGTAAAAGTTGTTTTGGATATTAAAAAGCAAATATCCATAATCAGCACTAGTAAATGATTAGCTGAATGTATCAGACTTGGTACCATGCTGGAATTCAGCTGTTCCAGTTTAATAATACTTGCCAGAAAGTCGGGGGAAAAAAGGAAAAGATTGTATAGGTGTTAAAGATCCTATCTTTTATATAAACTACTACACACATGTCTAGAGTGACAAATATGCAGGATGTAGCATGCTGTACATTACATTTTAATTCTCAGTCTCAAACCTTGCAGTCCCTCCAAGAATTTGTCATGCTTCACCTGTTTCAGTTTTTCAGTTTATTTTTTAAGCAATTTTAATGCAAGTTATTTCAGTTGCTGACTTGAACTATTTGTTCCATATCTCAACACCCATTTTGTGTTAGAAAATCATAAAAGTTAGGAACCTGAAAATTGGATTTTTCTTTTGAGCAGCTGCTGTCCACAAATGTGAAAAGATTGTTGAAAGTGAATAGCATCACTTTCTAACAAACTCCAGGTAGGTTTGATGACTGGATCTCATTGTTCCATCATTGTGCTGTCCCCAAGCATTATTCTGTTGGCATCCACAGATATATGGAAGAAAAAGCAAAGCTCTTTTGGGGTTTGAAGATGTATTTGTACAGCCATGGGTCTCAATGGTACTTTACTGTTAACCTACTCATGTGGAGTTGCATTCATAATTAAACAAAACTTTCTTGATTGAAATGTGTTCCATAATGTTTTGCAGGATACATTATTGTCCCTTTACACTAGGAAGATGAGAGTAAAAGGAAATTATATGCTAAAGACTGTAAGAGTTTATTTAAAAAAACCACCAAAACCAGAAAACCACTTTTAATTTAACTGACTCCCTAAGTCTTTGTGCCTGCGCTTTTGGTGACCTGATGGGGACTAGATAGATTTCTGTTTCAATTATTTTGAAAATCCTTCCATAATAACTTTTATTTCAGTATTTATTTCTGGTTTTATATAGCACATTTGTTTCAGTGTGCTGACATTCCAAATCAGAGGCATCTGGTCTGTTACATCTGCTGTGTCTCCACCAGGGTGCCACTATTAATGAGGTTTTCTTCCCAGGGCTGTTGTAATAGTATCTTCTAATAGTTTCCACTTAGTTTTCTGTTGGGGATCCAGTTTTACAACATTAAACATTTGGCTGAATTTGTAAAAGTGTTTAAAAGTATCTCCAGATATGAATTGCTTCTGATTTTGTTGGGGTTTTTTTTTGGGTTTTTTTTAGATTATTTCACCTAATACTTTAAAGCTCTTCATTTTTTATTTTTCCAAAAAATCATATTTAGTGGTCTTTTAATTTGTATTCCTCAAAGCATTTCTCTTCCTAGCATAATTGTCTGTATTTTTGTTAACCCACAAAATCAGTTTGTATGATCAGTTTATCCAGTCACATAATACATTGCTGAATTTGGGAGTACTTTGAGTGGAGCTCAAGTGTTGCTGTTTATTTTCATGGTACAGAATCACAGGAAGGCTCAGGATTGATGTGTTTTAGTAACTACTTTTATCCAAGTTTCCATCAGGGTTTGTGTGTGTACCTGCAATGTGGGTAGCATGTGGAACATTAATTGCTAAGACTTTCAGATTGTACCTATTAGTAAAAGTATACCAATAAATCAATCAATTTATAAAATTCTGCTAAATAAAATAGAACTTTTCTTGAGTAAAGTTCTTGGACACTTTATACTAAATCAAGGGGAAAATACATTAATTTGAGGAATGCTGCTTTTTCATTATTCTGAGAGTAAGAAAATCTGCTCTAGAATTATATATTATTGTCTCCTGAAAGGTCTAAGAGTCTTCAGAACTGTTTATATTCTAAGAGTTTTAATGTGTCCTTTCTGACCTTTCAAAAATACATGTTATTAGATCCAACAGAAGATAATTGTATTCACATCACATGGCAGAGAAGCCTGTCCACACAGTCCATAGGGGGATGAGATTTTGTGTGTCCCTGAGGGATCAGCAGAACTAACAAGACTCAGTTTAAAGTGGCACTGCTGGTTTTCTTGAGTATCCAGTTCAGGAAGTGCAGATGTGTACTGGGGATACATCACTGTAAGTCCTTAGGCACCACCAGCTCCATGTGCTCTGTTTGGTACTGAGGAAATACTTTCTGAGCAGCTCTTACCTACTGCTCAGTTTCTCACCAGGTTTCATATAGCAGCAACTTTCTTCTGTGGTACAAACACAGTGTTTAATGTCTAGTTGGAGACTCAGGCTTGATCAGATAAACCATTCTCTTAGTGAGTATATCCATTATAAATATTATATTGACGAAAATTTAGGGAACAGAGTCACTGTTGATGTAAGACCTTAGAATCACTTCATTTGCCTTCACTTGCCTTTCTTATTCTAAAGAGTTTCTAGGCAGGAGGATAGAGAAAGGGAAATTTTTGTTTGGAAGCCACAGGATTATCTGAGCGTGTCATACGAGTTGGAATGTTCCTCCTGCACCTTCCATTCTGACAGTCTGTGTAATGCAGATGTTGCTCAGCTGCACTGGGACTTCTTCTTTTGTAAAATTCATGTCACTTGTTAACTTGTCTTCCTAGGAAATGGAGTTTAGAAGGCACATAGATATCTAGAGATGGTAACTGCATCAGGAGATGTTATTTCTTTTTCTTGAGTGTGTTCACTAAGGAGAGACTTCTAATGAGGAATTTGTTCTTTGCTTAGTTATGCAAGCTGCTGCTCTAACTGCATGTCTCTGTATGCAACTCAATCTGCATACAAGTGAAAAAATGCCATCCAAACTCTTGGGTATGTGCTCAGAAAGCCAGCTAGAATACATTTTCAAAGAACTTCTGATACAGAAGTTAAAGGAAGGAATTTCACAGAGTGTAGCTAGATGTGTATCTTGACAATTAGTTTTTTTCCTGAAGAGTTTATAACTGAACAAAATGAAACCGTGGAGCTTTTAGCTTGCTTTTGATAATACATGCTGTAGTTACTGGAAGTGAGATTCTCATGCTCTTTTGTTAATCTCAGTGAATAGAAAATTATATTAGCCCTTTATTTGTCACCTTCAACTCGATGAACTTATGTAACTCCAGACCCAAGTTGCAGTGCCAAATGTAGGATCAGACTCTGCAGGTCTGTTCTGTCCACCACAGCCACTGAACAACAGATTGCTAAGATAAAGTATGATTTTTTAGAGCAAAAGCATTTAAGGAGGGGAGTGGGGAAACTTTTCAGACAATAAAGTACTCAAGACACATAGTCATCAGCCAGCTGAGCATGCTAACAGATTCTCTAACCAAAATCTATATAACAAGCCTGAAAAAGAGAAATCCTTCTTTGCCCTTTGTTGTCAGCCTGCTGGCTGATCCAGTGTACCTACTGACAGCATGCTGGTCTGTTCTGCTGCCTAAAAATTGTAGGCAGAAAAAAGTAATTAATGCATCATTTTGTAATAAATGTTTCCATTTCCAACTCCTAAGACTGGGAAATCGTCAAGTCCCTATTGTGTAGTTTCCAGGAAAGATGCTCATTAGATTTCCCAGTCAATATCTTTTAAATACATACTTGGATGCATCTTATCTGGGAAATGACTGTACTGATTCCTTGTTTGGTCTTCCCTAATCCTTCAAAATAAGTTAAACTAATATATGCATAAATCTTACATGCCTTACTTTCCTTGAGTTTTCATATTCATTATATCTAAAGCTATTGTATTTTAGATTTTATTGCCTTCTAAAGACCATGAAGCCCATTCTTTTTCCCTATGAGAATCTCTAAATCCACATGTTACTTTCTAGTCAGATTGCCTGGGCTTTATGCATCTACTGGACTAACATATAAATTACTGAGAGTGTTAATTATTTTTCTGCTAGGTAAGATGTCAAGACAGAAAAAATCACTTTAACAGTCTTACATATTTTTCTGCTAGGTAGGATGTCAGGACCGAAAAAATTACATTAAAAGTCTTACACTGGCTTTTAACCAATAGGTAATAATTAAACAATCTTGAGGTGCTAAAAACCAAACATTATTAATTAGAGTTCATGAGTTACTAGGGAAGTCCTGCCTAATTTGGCAATAATGTAAACCCTTATATCTTTTCCTTAAATGCGCTATAAAATCTAAGAGAATGTAAAAAAAATAGTGCCCTTCTATAGCTTTATAAAGAAGAGTTTACCCCACATCATTTGAAGTGTTAGAAAATCAAGAATGGTTGCCATTTTAGACCTAGTTTTATAGGTTCTTTTCAAATTATTACAAGTTATACTTGGTATTTTTGTATTAAGAATAACAACAGTATTTAGAAGGTCTAGACCAATTTTTTTGCATTATTTGAAACAGCAAGCACTTTGTTTTAAATCAAGCTCACACACAAAAAAAAAAGCCCCTCTATATGGTCATCTCAACAGTTCTATATGGTTTTTTGTTTGTTTTATTTTTGTATTTGTGTTCAACTAGGAAATACTACAGGATCTGGAGCAAAGACGTCCCCAGCTGGATGATCTAATAACTGCAGCACAAAATCTAAAAAACAAGACGAGCAATCAAGAGGCCAGAACAATAATTACTGACCGCAGTAAGTGGTGATTCTGCTATCGTATGACACTTCAGCAAACACGGAGAATGTTGTCATAGCTGCTAAGCCTAGCACTTTGCATACATGTTATGCCTTTGCCATGAGGAGAGTTCCATCAGGGGACAGTTCTCACACAGATTTTCCAAATGGCATATAGAAGAAATGTCAGTGAAATGCAGTGATCATATATTTCAGATTTTACATCTTCATTTCATTTTGCTTGTCTTCAAGCGGAAAGACATTGTACGAAATATAGAAGGTGAGCACTGTAGATATAGACATACATTTATCCTTACACAAGAAGAAAAAAAAAAGCAAGAACTCACAGAATATAGCCACAGGCTCATAAGAAGCTTTCAGTTTCATCCCCCCTAGTCCAGCTGCAGGCTCTTCTTTCTTCTACCCTCAGCTGATGCCCAGGTCTGATGCTCTGCATTGCTCTGGATTATTTCTTCAGCTCTTCTTTTCCCTTTCCAGAATTAACCAACTAGCTGTGCCTAAGGTGGAAAAAATAGTAGAATAAGTGTTAGATGTAGTATTGTCACCCTTGATGCTTGCGTGTCCTTCTGCCCCTCGCTAGGGGATGAAACACTCTCCAGGTCGTGCTGTAGGAGCAGCTCTCTGGGGTGGACTGCTTAGAGCTTCAGATTTTATTTTGATGACTCAGGACTAGAAACTATGAAAAATGAATTTTTTTATGATCCTCAAGGTCTACCATGGAGTTTAGAGAAAGCCCAGGCCAAATGCTTTGCATGTCAACACAGCCAGTTCATTTTAGGTGGATGCAAACTGTGCGAAAGCGTAAATGTAGGCTAAACCTTTCTATCCCTGTAATAAAAATTATATAT